ACGTCGAGCACCCTGCTGGCTTCCGTAAGTCATTTTGGGAAGTCCACCCCTAGTTTTTTTTAAGATTAAGCAATACTGAAACGCCAGTTGCTGACATTTCCACGCAGGACCTGGGGCACGGGGACCGGCCAGCCGGCGGCAGTGGGCGGGGCAGAGCGCCCTCACTTCCTCCCGTGCGCCGGAAGTGGCTGTTGGCGCGGTTGCGCGCCCGGGGATGGGCGGCTGAGGCAGCGGAGGCCCAGCGCGCGGGGCGCCGCCCGGGAGCGCCAGCTGCCAGGGACAAGGCAGCGACCCAGTGTGCTGAGCGGCCCAGCGCGGTGAGTAGCCGGGCTCGCCGGCGGCTCCCGCCGACTCGGGCTGGGCATCGCGGGCTCCAGCCGGTCCGGTCGGGTCCCCTCAGACGAGTGCCCCGGGAGGGACTGTGTTCCTGTGGGGTCGCCTCGCCTCCTTCCCGAGTCCGCTCCGGCCACAGGGATCGCTGCTGCCAGAGACGTGGGTTTGCGCGTCGGCGTTTTCAAACCCGTTCGCCCTCGAGCTGGCCATCTCCGCGGTGGGCGGGTGACGTTTCGGTCGGCTGTTGCGTGGCGTGGGTTCCAGTCGTGCGCTCTGACAGACGCCCACCTTGGAAGGCGCAGCGGGGTGCAGGGCCAGGGGTGCAGGGCCGGGGGCCGGGACCGCTCCCGCTTAATCCCTAGGCTTTTCCTCCAAGCCCGCGTCAAGCTCCCAGGCGTCTTCTGGCCGGCGTCGGAGCTATGGAGAGGATGGGGACAGTTCACTGTCATCTTCATTTCTGCCGGATTTTGTCCTGTCTTTTCAGGCTGTGGTAAAGACCTCGAGCATGGAAGGCAGAAGCCAAGTACTTTCCGACTGAGCATGTTCACATTCGTTTTCTGTTATAATTATCTTGCTACCAGTTGTTTAAAATTATCATGTGACTAAAAGAATGCAAAAGGACCTTGGCGTCTAATATGTATGACGCAGAGAATTTGGGCCTAAATAAGCACACGATTTTAGTTCCAAAGAACGTGAAAGTTACATTTTTCATCTTAACTTTCTCGTGGAGTTACAAAATATGTGTGAAGTCAACAAGTACACAAGTCTTAACTATACAATGAATTTTACATAGTTACCTTTAACAACTGTGTCCATCATATAACTGTAGAGCCGTCCGTCATCCTCTGCTGCTTCCAAGTCAGTCTTTCCACTGCCCGCCTAGCTGTTTTCTGACTTCTCTCATCAGCTATTAGTTTTGTGTATTTTGAGCTTCCTATTAGTAGAGCTGTACAGTATGCTCAGCATATTGGGGAATTCGCCCATGATGCTTCATGATATGGTGTCATTTATGCAATCCTGGTATTAATAGTTCTTTTTGTTAATATTCCGTTATGTGACATTATCGCTATTCAGTTCATGAGCATTTGTGTGCTTAATTTTTATATATTATGTATTTTGGATATTAAGAATACTATGAATTTTTTGTTGTTGTTGTTGCCGTACTGGGGTTTGAACTCAGGGCCTACACCTTGAGCCACTCCACCAGCTCTTTTTTATGTTAGGTATTTTCGAGATAGGGTCTCACGGAATTAATTGTCCAGGCTGGCTTCGAACCGCGATCCTCCTGATCTCTGCTTCCTGAGTAGCTAGGATTACAGGTGTGAGCCACCCGTGCCCATTCCTATAAATGTCTTCATGAGCATGTGGGTACATTTCTGTCAGTGAGATTGGTAGAAAATTACATTTTAACTAACATGAAGTCTTCCTGTATTTAAAAAAAAAAAAGGTAATAGAATCCCTTAACAAATACAATATTAAAGATTGGTTAAAAGTGGGGGGGAGTAATGACCCAATCATTGTATGCACATTTGAATAAAAGAAATTTTTTAAAAAGCATAACTGTTATGAGTTCAAGACTTACATGATTCGTTACTATATTATTGTTTACCCTTTGTATTTGCACATCTGGACAGTCTCAGACTATCATTGTTGTTTAACTGTCTGTTAGACAAGTCCGTTAGAGCTGGTTATGATCTGACTCTGAAGTTGAGTATAATACTTGTGTAAGAACTGTGTTACTCAAGTTAGTGTTTTGTTAGGGGAAACAAAGTAGTGGTAGTTAGGGGAAATGAAACACCAGAAGATACCAATATAGCCAACAGTGTGTTAAAGAATAGGGATTGCAAAACAATGAATTTAGATTATTATTGTCATGCCATATAACAGGTATCAACATAAAGTTGAATTTAGGGTTAGTTTCAAATTGAATTTTTTGCAGTATAGTGACTTCCACATGTACAGAAATAATCAGCACATTTATAATGTGAACAGAGAACAAAAAAAAATCACTAAACATTTGTGGGTAATAGCATTTAAGAGAAACCTGAAACTGAACAAATATAAGGAGCAATGGAGAAACAGAAGAAAACCTTAAAGTAAATATTAGTACCCTCAAATTTGAGCAGGTATAACACAAACAGGCTGCCATGGAAAAAGCCGTCAGGCCTTGAATATTGAAATATAGAAAGTAGGAAAGAATAGCCATGGCATGGAAAGTAGATTTGGAAGAACCGGTGTCATCTAATAGGAGTTCTAGAAGCAAGAAGAGTGAGGAAGGGGTCAGGGTCCCATTATCCCTTCCAAGAGCACACCACTATTGATCTAACTTCCTTCCACTAGGCTGCATCTACGGAAGGTTTCACCGTCTCCAGTAGCACCACAGACTTGCAACCAAGGTTTTAATACATGGGCTTTTGGGGGGACATTTTAGATTTGAGGTATAGAAATGAGTAAGGTAAGAAGTAGCTAAAGGCATGTTAGGTTATCTTGAGCAAGGGAGAAGCTATAGATACCAATTATAAAGATCAAATAAATACTTTAAGGAAATCTGACAGTTCCACTTCCAGGGATTTATCCAGTAGGTGAATAACATATGATCAAAGTCACGTATACCGAAGCCATTCATGCCAAGATATTTAATAGTGGCAATAGATTTGGGAGGATACACATATCTGGAGAAGGAAACAACCTTTGGGACAGGAAGGAGACTTTCCACTATATTCCCTTAATTCATATTTAACCATCTTATCCTATGTATTTGTGAAATTTTAGAAGTTTAAAAAAATGGGGATGAGGGGTGAAGAGTAGGAGAATCATGGGTCCAGCCCAAGCCCTAAGTAAAAAGTTAGCAAGATCCTATCTTAGCCACTGAAAGCTGGGCATGTAAGAGCCTGCCTATCATCCCAGCTATGTGGGAAGTGTAAGTAGGAGGATCATAGTCCAGGCCAGCCTGGGCATAAATGTGAGATCCTATTTGAAAAATACCTGAAAGCAAAAAGAACGTAGCTCAAGTGATAGAGTGCCTACCTGGCATGTGCAAGGCCCTGAGTTCAAACTCTAGTACTGCCAAAAAAAAATTTTTAAGCTGAGCATGGTGGTATACACCTGTAGTCCCAGCTATTTGGGAGGCCAAGATGAGAAGATCACTTGAGCTCACTAGTTTGAGATGAGCCTGGGCAATGTAACAAGAGTGTCTCAGACAAAAAAAAAAAATATTTTCGAAGTCCAAACAAATTTAAGGTTTTAGAGCAGAGGTTGACACTTATTTTAGTGTGACCTGTGACAAAGTGGTTTTTACATTTTTAGGTAATCAGGGCAATAAAGAAAAATAATACAATATGACTCATGAAGATTATATGAAGTTCAGATTTCACTGTCCCCTGGAACACAACTGTGCTTATTAATTTACATATTGCCTATGGCTGCTTTTATGCTATAAAGGCAGAACTGACTGGTTGTGACATTATCTGACATAAAATGTTTGCTTGTCCCTGGCTTAGAGACCAAATACAGACCTGTTTATGTAGAGGAATTTTGTTTATGATAAAGGTGACATTTCAAGTTAGTGATAAGAGCAAAGACTATAGAATGAATAAGAATTGCCTATCTGAGGAAATAAATTACTTACTTTGTTATTAGGATTACTTCAGGTAGGGAAGCTAAAAGTGAAAAGTCACATAGAAAAAGCTTGATAGCCAGGCTCTAGTGGCTCACACCTATAATCCTAGGTACTTTGGAGGCTAAGATTGGGAGGATCAGGGATTGGGGCCAGTCTGGGCAAATAGTTTGTGACCCATTCTGTCCATCTGCAAAATAGTCAAAGCAAAATGGACTGGAGATGTGGCTCAAGCAGTAGAACGCCTGCTTTGCAAGCACCAAAGTCCTGAATTCAAACCCCAGTCCTACAGAAAATAAAAAAGAAAAAGTTTGATAGATTTGACTATTAACAATCAGAAATATTGCATAATGAGAAATAATACCAGACACTTATGGAGCACTTAATGCTTGTCAGGTTTTGCTTGATTAATTATTACAATAACACTCCAAGGTAGGTTCTATAATTATCCCCACTTACCAGTTGAGGAAACTGAAGCTTACATTAAGGAGTTTGTCTATAATTAAGAGTTAGAAAATAGAGCAAATACTTGAGTTTAGGCTGTCTGAATCCCAAACCAATTATATAAATAGGACAGAAATAGACAATTAAGAAAAATATTTGCAACATGGGCATGCCATTTTATAGATACTATCTATGTCAACAGTAAGCATCTTCCCCTTCCTTTTAAACATTCCATTGTGTAAGTGTCTTCAGTTTACCTAATCTTTTTCATTGTGTTGGACATTAAGCTTCTTTTATTTTTCTTTTGCTGTTAATATAACACTAACAAACATTTTATGCATATGACATATGCTAGTATTGATATTTCTGTAGTAAAAAATTTTAAAGGCTGGAGGTATAGCTCAAGCTAAAGAGCACCTGCCCCAGTACTGGAAAAAATTTTTTTTAAATCTTTAAAAGTGGAATTACAAACTGCTTGATTAAAGGGTATATGCATTTAAATCAAATTTACCCTTCATAAAGTGTGTGTGTGTGTGTGTGTGTGTGTTTAGTTTATCTTTAATCAAAGGAATCATAATGGTACTGAAATGGCAGTGCTCCAGGAAGGAGGTCTCCAAAATGGAAGAGGCCTCCACCTGGCCATTGGGTACTGAATTCATTATGATGTTGCAAAAAAGAATTTTAGGACACATTGAGACAGAGCAAAGGAAAGATAGAAACGTAGTATACAACCTAGACATGGGTGTGGGCACGTCTGATATCAGGTGCAATGAGTGTTTTAACATTGGGGTATTTATGGTGAAAAGGTATATTGAGAGTTGGGCTCAAATTTATCTTAAGAAAAGTGCTCCTCTTTGTTCTTACACCTGGTATGTTTAATTATTTTTTTCTGTTACACTCTTTTGTCAATTGGGCCCAAAGATT